TTGGGAGTGGGGGGCCAGGACTCAGAGCAAGCCAGAGTGTGAGCCCACCCCTGCTCCCCATGCTGCTCCCCACGCTGCACCCCACCCACCACCCCGTGAGCGCCGGTGTGCGCGCCTGCAGGAGCGCGCGTGTGTGACTCAAGGTCTATTCATAGCCGAGCTCCACCAGCTGCAGCGTCACAAGCAGAGGGGCCTCAGCCCATATTATTATTTCAATTACCATCTGAATTAAAAGTTTGAGCAGCGATCAGCCCACGTAGCGAGGGGAAGAGGGAGCAGGAGAAAAATAAAGATGAAAAGGAGAAGAAGGGCTGTGCCTGGCGATCCCCCACACCCCAAGGAGGGCTGAGTCCGTAGAGGAGGTTTAAAGGTTACACCAACCCCCAGGATTCCCGCCTGCCCCTTGCTCAGGACCCAGAGTCCTCCCATCGTAGGGAGGAGTGCTTTGCGACGGCAGCCCAACCACAGCCACTCTGGAAATAGATCGTTCAACTCGGGTTCACATGGATGGGTGAACACTGCTCAGAGAGGGTGAGGGACTGACCTAAGGTCACACAGAGAGCCACCCATGGCAACTGTCTCCAAGACCCTCTCCTGCCGGCCTGGTCCCACTGACCTCACCAGGCTCTGTAACACATGCGCCATTTCCCTTCTGCTCCCCTCTCCCTGCACCCTCGCCTGAAGCCAGCTCTCTCTCAGTCCCCTGCATCCCCGACTCCACACCTCATGCTACCGGCAGCCCAAAGGCCCCTCCTCATTCACTGGTACAGGGGACAGAGCCCTGGGCCAGGAGGTAGGCAGTCTGGCCCTAATCTAACTCTCTGGGCACCTACAGGCAGATCACCCTTTGTCTCTGAGCCTCAGTCTTCCCACCTATGAAATGAGTTCTCCCCTAAGATACATGGCAGTATCTGTCTTCAGAACAGAGCCCCCAAAAAGAGCCAGACTCCCTGAGGGGGTGTCACGCTGTGGGGGCGACTAGACCATCTCCTGGCAAACCCCAGCCTAGGGGAGGAAGTTTTCCACTCTTTCCCCAGGGAAGGCCCAGAGACAGCCCCAAGAACCAGACTAGTTTGAACTCGAACCCGGGCTCCTCTGCTTCTTTGCTGTGTAACCTTGGACAAATCACTAAGATGCTCTGAGCCAGGCTCTCCCTTCTGTAACACGGGGACCTCAAATCAACATTGCTGTGGAGAATTCAATGGGAATTTGCAAAAGCTCCTAGCCCAGTGCCTGGTGAGCAAATGTGTTTCCTCACTAGGAAGCCGGGAAGTGTTGAGCACTATTTCCCAGCTCCTCTTTGGGAAATACCAAAGGCTCCTCGGATTTTGAAAGTGGGGATGACATTCAGCCTCACCTGTAAAGCAGGAGTCACCTGGCAGATGCTTATCTGGCTCTGCTTGAATACCTCTGGGATTGGGGAGCTCACTATCTCACAAAACATCCACAGCTGCTCCCTTTTTCTCCACCTCCAGCTCTGGGAATTTTCTAGAATGGAGCATAAGCTTCCAGCTTAACCCCAAATCCAACCTATCCTTGCCTGGGACTGCCTGAAACTGGCTTTAAAATGAGACTGAAAGGAGTTCTTCAAAGAGACCAATTGAGGGAGGGGATTCATGCCCAGGGACAGTGGGGGTGAGGGGATCTGGAGAGAAGGGAGGTGGCTGAAGTCAGAGCTGGGCTCTCAAAGCTCCTGGGTCCTTGTCTGGGCTTGCCACAAAGTTCCACAGGGACATCTGTCTGTCTGCTTCCAGGTGGGGCTGGGAGCCCAGCAGTCCTGGATTCAGGTCCTGGCTCTGCTTCCTCCACCCCAAACCATCACTGTGACCCTGGTGGGTCCACTTCCCCCACAGTCCCAAGGCATCAGAGCAGGGATGTAAGCGCCAAACCTTCTGTCTGAATCCAGGCACCCTCCCACTCCACCTTGTCCACCCCCAGCCCTGCATGCTGGGAGCCACGGGCCCCTGAGTGTCTGTGGTTTCAGGGTCAGAGGCCCTATTTCTATCCCTGTCTCCTGCTTTCATAGCTGCTGCCTTTGAGGATTCTGTCATCCCCATTTTACAGGTGGGTAGATGGAGTCATGAGGCAGTGAAGCCACTTGATCAAGGTCACAGAGGATGATTAGAAACCGAGGACTCCCTCCTCTGGACCCAGGAGAGCCACAGAACTTAAGGGAACCTTCTTTCAGGAAAATCGCCAAGATGTGGCCGACCGTTCTCTATACAGATGTGGACTCCGCATGGGGCAGGGGGCTGCCCAAAGTCACACAGTAAGGCACTGACAAGCCAGGGTCCTGAACCACGCCTCCCTGCACCTGGGCTGCACCCAGACAGGGGGCTGGCAACATGGAATGACTATCTGCCCCGGTCCTGGGATCTCCCCAAGACTGGAGCCTATATCCTGCCTCTATCCCCTGCTTGGCTGCCCCAGGAGCCCCCCAACACCTAGGACTGAGGTGGGAAGAGTGAGTAGGTAGACAGGAAAGAAAGCTGAGGGCTGGCCACTTGCCCCTGGCCCTCTTGCCCTCCCCTCCGGCTCTTCTCGTGCAGGGGGAGCAGCGGCGGTGGTGATGTAATGCACTCGGCTTTCGTCCCGGTGCCAATCTCAGAAGAGAGACGACAGATTGCGTGAGCCAAATTTGGCATCCTAGGGGGAGAGGCATGAAAAGTGGAGACGTGGAGGAGCAGAGAGGAGCCTGGGGTGGTGCAGGAGAAGCCCCCTGCCCTGCAGCCCCGAGGTGTCTTCCCTCCCTCCCCTCAGGGCCCCCATCTCTTCCTCAGCCCACCTGGCCCTGGGGCCTCCCCTCCTCACTCTGAGAGGCCAGCTGGGCTGCTCCCTGGCCCCTTGAGCAGCCCAGCGCTGCCAGGCCTACCCGCCACCCCCACCCCACACTGCTCCAGCTCTGTTTCCCACCGCCGCTAGTTTCCTGGTTACCATGTTGCTGGTTGTCATGTCGCTTACATGTCCTCGTGACTCAGTGGTCCCCGCAGAGGGGCCCCCTCCTCCTCACACCCCCCTTAGCACTCGCCCCCGCCTCCCCCAGATCCACATTAAGAAGCAGCCCGCCCTGTAAGCCTACACTGTTCCTCCTCCCCTTCCCTCTTATCCTGAGCTAAGACATCTCACAGCAGCTCCCAGAGCTACTTCATTCTCTCTTTCGCAAATGTCTACGAACCTACTATGCTCCAGGCTCGCGCACACGGCTTTCACAGACCTGACACAGTCTGCAAAGTGCTTAACACCCCGATGAAGGTGGTAGTGTCATCCCTATTCTCCAGTTGAAGAAGCTGAGGGTCAGAGAGGTCAGGCCGCCCACCCAAGGTCACCCAGCAGAAACTCAACCAGCTCTGTCTGGAATCCGCGCCACTCCAGAGGATTTTCTGGGAAGAGCTTTCTGTTCAAGGGTAACCAAGGGGCCATGAATAGTACCCCAGACTCCCTTCTAATCCTGGACTCTCTTCCTTGGTAGTTCTCTATTTCCACCATCTTCCCATCGCCCCACGCCCACCTCCACCCACTAGCTGTTCATCTCTCTTAAGGTAAAGTGAGTCCTTGCTCCCATCTGCCCAGCGCTTTCCCCAGCCTGTGAATAACCCTCTGCTCATTGAGCCCAGGGCCCTCCTTGGAGGTCACTGGGGCAGGGAGTGACGTTCCCATACCACAGATGTGGAAGCTGGCGGTTGGGAGGAGAGTGACCAGCCCAGGGGACTGCTCTCCCCGCCAGCTAAGCTAATTTCTGGAAGGTTGAATGGAGCACATATGACACCCGCTGCCCAGTGTGGAAAACCCCAGAAAGAGTCCTTCCTCCCAATGAGAATGGAGTGGAATGTTCTGGGCTCAGCCCTTCCAACTCCAGTTGGGATATGGGTCAGCTCAGTGGCCAACAGTCTCTGTTCCCTCCCACCACACTCACTCATCTCTTACCCCGGCTGCCCTGGTCCACCTTTGGCTCCTGTCATGAGTCCAAGCCAGGGCCACAGTGAGACTCTTGGGACCCGAAAGTCCTAATAAGGCCTGAAGCCATGGAGGTCATCGGACTGGACGTAGGGGAGAAGGGGAGTAGATGTTACACACACACACACACACACACACACACACACACTCGGCTCCAGCCCTTCTCTGGGCCTCCCTTCCTGAGTTCCCCACTTCCCCCAAATCTGCTGCTGGACATTCTACTGCTCTTGAAGCCCTGCTCTGTCAGCTGGCCAGGCTGCCCTGGCTCGAGCCACCCCCCACACCACCCAGCTTGCACCCCCCACCTCCCTGCATCCTCTCCATCCTGAGGCCGGGACACTGGGGGCAAAAGTGCGGGTGGGGGGCAGGAAGGCTGACACTGGTCGGGGGACATTTGGCAGATTGCAGGGGAAGTTCTCCCTGTGCGAGCCTCATTCAGACCTCTCTTGCCTTGGGGTGCTCCCTGCACGCGGTGGAAAAAGCAGTCTCTGCCTCCCTCCCCAGCCTCAGTTTCTATCACTGTGAATGTGACAGAAATACTCCTCTACCAATCCCTGCCCCCTCGCCCTGGTGTCGTGTGGCACAAAGTAGGTGCTCAAAACATAAGAAGTGAGATTTCGTTCTTCCTCAGATCACAGGGACATTTGCAACGATGCTGCAGCTAGGGAGGCGGAAAGGCAGCACCCCCCCCCCCACCTTGGCACAAGTCACCTGCCTTGAAGCTCCCTGGCATGACAACTGGGGTGGGTGGAGGCAGGGAAAGGTCACGGCCGGGGCAGGAGGTCAAGATCCCTTCCACCCACCATTCTCCCCTTCCAGGACACAACCCAGACGGCGACGCTCCCAGACGGACAGACGGACAGAGCCCGCCCGCTCCCGGGAAGTCACGGGACCGCGCCAAACGCGCGCGGCGCCGGGCAGCGGGGACCCGGCTCGGGATCAGGTGCGGAGCGGGCGGGGCCGGAGCGGCGGGCCCGGGACACACAGACACGCAAGCGGCGGTACAGACTGACGGAAAGCGCCCGCGGTGGGCGAGCGCGGCTTACCGCTGGGCGGAGGGTCCGACGAGAGTCCGGGAGGCGGCGAGCGGGCGCTACATCCCACGGCGCGATCCGGCGGGCGGCGTCCCGGGCGCGGAGAGGGGAGTCCCGGCGTCCCCTGCCCGCGAACTCGGCCGGCCGGCCGGCCCGCGCCCCCCTCCCCGGCTGCCGCTCCGTCTGCGCCTGGGTCTCGGGGTCTTCCCGCGTCCGGGCCGTCCCGCGCCGCTCCCCGCGGGCCGCCCAACTTTCAGCGCTGCCTCGCGCCGCGCCCTCGGCGCCGCCTCGGCGTCAGCATCGTCGGGCCCGGCCCCGCTCAGAGCGCGGGGGTCCGGGGGCCCGGGGCGCCCTGCCGCCCGCGCCCCCCACCCCCGCCGCAAGCGCCCTCCTCGCCGCCGTCACCCGCGCCTGCTCGAGCGCTCTGCCCCCGGCCCTGCGCTCCGCTCCCGGCCCCGCTGCGCTCAGCTCCGGTCCCGCGACCCCTCGGCCTCCGGGCCCGGGGTCGCCCTCCCCGCCCCCGCCGGCCGGGCTATGCAGCCACCTCTCCGCCCGCTCCCGCGCCTCTCTCCCGCCGCCGGGATCTCCGCCGCGCTCGCGTCCCGGGGCCTCTCCCGGCCTCCCTGCCTCCCGCGGCCCCGCTCGCCCTCTGCCCGTGGGGTCTCCCGTCTCCGTCGCGGTCGCCCGCCGGCCTCCTCCCGCCTCCCTCCGCCCGCGCTGCCGCTCTCCCTGCGCGTCTCTGTCCGTCTCCCTCCCGGTCTCGGTCCTCCTCTGTCTCTCCCCCTCCCACTCTCCGTGCGGCCCCCTCTGTCTCGGACCCCGGCCCCCGCCTCGGCCGCGTCCCCGGCTCGCCCGGGAGCCCGAGCTCCCGCCGCCCGCGGCGCGCCGAGAACTCCCAACTCGCGGCACTCCGCCCCGCTTTGCGAGACTTTCGCCCCTCCTCACACGTGACCCGCGCCCCACTGCGGAGGCCGCGCGCCCCCCAGCCCGGGAGCCCCGGTGGCCCGCGGGGCCCCGCCCTGCCCGTCCCTCGGCCTCACCCGGCCTCAAGCCCCCTCCCGTGGGGCCCGCGGCGCGGAGCAGGGGCTGGGGCGGGGGGCTGCTTGCCCCGCTCCTGCCCTGGATCCTGCCCGGGTTTTCCTCCTCGCCCCAGGAGCGCTCCTCCCAGAACCCGTTCCTGGATCCGCTCCCGGGTTTTATGCCCCCCCCCGGGGGCAGGTGGAGAGGGTTCCTCCGAGCCAAGCCGGGTAGCGGGTGGGTGAGAGCGGGTCCGTCTGGGGTCCCACGGAGTCAGGCCCCTCCCCTTGGCGGTCCTGGTACCCTCCCGAAGTACCGCTAGTTAAGGACCCAAAGCACCCCACTCTGGGAGTCCGTGGTGGCCCTACTGGAGGGACCCTTACGATTACCCAGTCACCACTGCCCCATTTTATAGACGGCGAGACTCAGTACCAGAGAAGGTCAGAAACTCGGCCAAGGTCACCCAGAGATGACACAGCCGGGCCAAACCCTAGTCCCCTGTTCTCCGTCGTTCTCCATGACCCCGAGCTGTCAGGCCTGGGCCCCACACTCTGGGGTGTCAGGGAGCCCCCAGCGCCCACAGCACGGGTCGAGCCAGCTACTACCTGGCCATCCTGCCACTTCACTCTAGCCCTCTGAGGAGACGGGAGGGAAACTGCTCCTCCCTCCAGAGAAGTGGGAGGAGAGAACACCTGCAGTTAGACAGCCAGAAGAACTTCCCTGGGAGTCTGGCTATCACTGACTAGACCCAGTGCAGAGAGGAAGAGACTGAGGCACCCCAAAGCCGGGTGGAGAACTGATGAAATCTGAAATCCCCCTGACTCTTCTGAGCCCCAAGGATGTCAGCATAGGAACAGCAACACACAAACCACCATAAGTGTTTCTCTTCCTCATGGGCTCGCCCTACCCAAAAGGATCCAGTCCCAACTCCTCAGTGTGGTATAGCCAGGTCCCACCTTACCCGGCATCCGACATCCCATAAACCCACAGGTACACCCTGATTCTACAGATTCCAGAACACACCGCAGGCCTCCGCACCTCTCTGCCTGCACTCACTGTTCCCTCCTGCCTGAAATGCCCCTCCACCTTCTTTGCCCTGAGATTCCCTGCTGTTTCCCAAGCCCAGCCTCAGTGCCACTTGCTCGAGAAAGCCTCCTGATGACCCCAGCAGAAGTCATTCATTACCCACTCGTTCATTCAGCCAGCATTAGGCACCCACCACGTTTCAGCCCCTGGGCTGGGCACAAGTATGGTTCTTGCTTAGTGGTCTGAGGAGTCAGGCTAAACTAGGCTCAGCAGCACCTAAGAGCTACTTGACCTTGAACATGTTTTTAATTTAACCTGTCTGTAGATTGAGGACCCTGATGCCCCGCATTCCCCAGGGGCAGATTAAATGAGGTGGATGCACACGAAATGAGCAGTTCATGGTAGGTGCTTAATACACGTGACCGTCCTTTCTCAGGGATCTCTCTGTACGGACCTCCACAGCGCAAGTCCTGTTCCATGCCTCTCCCTGGTTACTCTGCTGTGTCCTCGCAGGCAGACAGCTAGGACTGATATTCCATCACATGAACGCTCAGTGTATGGATGCAGGAGAGGTTCAAGCAGCCTGAGTGCCCGGTCGGCAACAGATGTGTGCCTGGTCTTTCTCACCCTTTTGCATGGATTGAAAGTGGGAGGATGAGGGTGAGAAAAATGACCTGCCTGGCCACAGGCCTGACCTGGTAGCTGTCCTGGGAGTGTGGGGTGCAGGGGGAGGAGGAAGGAGCAGGAAAGAGGGGAACATGGAGACAGGGATGTCTGCAGATCCAAAGCATCTCCTCTCACAGGATCAGCCCCCTGATGCCAGGTCCCTAGGCACAAATTTGAAGATGAGATGGGGGCTCTGGGGCAAGGAGGGTCACCTTGCCAGGCCTGGGCTGTGCCCTGAGGTGGCTGCTCATCCTGCAAGAAGACTGGATTGGGAGGAGGTGGGGAGACGCAACCGGAGGAGCTCCAGGCAGGGAGAGATTCAGAGACCCCAGGAAAGAGTCCTTTCTCTCCTTTCCTGCCCTGTGTGACCTTGGGCAGCCCACCTCTCCTCTCTTGGCCTTTGTTTCCTCATATGTCAAGTGGAAAATATAACACCCACTTTGAATATCTGGGTGTGTTTGTTTTTAGTTTGGTTTTTAGATAGGGTCTGCCTCTGTCGCCCAGGTTGGAGTGCAGTGCTGCCATCTCTGTTCACTTCAACCTCCACCTCCCTGGCTTAAACCATCCTCCCACCTCAGCCCCCTGAGTAGCTGGGACCACAGGTGTGCGCCACCATGCCCAGCTAATTTTTGTAGAGATGGGGTTTTGTCATGTTGTCCAGGCTGGTCTCAAACTCTTGAGCTCAAGCGATCCACCTGCCTTTGGCCTCCCAAAGTGCTAGGATTACAGGTGTGAGCCACCGGACCTGGTGGAGCAGCTGTTTTGTGGATAATCAAAGACTAAAGGAAAACTTCACATTATTCACCTTATATGAGAGCAGCTTCTAGCCCTGTGTGAGGTTGGGGGTGGAGATGGAAATGAGCACGCAGAGGCCTGGGAGGTGTGTGAGGTGTTTGGGAAAGGCATGGATGTCAGAACCTGTGTGACCCTGGGCAAGATGCATGTCCTCTCTGGACCTCAGAGGCCTTGTCTGTAATGGGACAGTGTGGACTGGGTACCCCAATGGGCTTTGTCAAGATCCAGCACAGATGCGTCTCCCCCCAACGGAGTAAGGACAACTTGAATCTCCCACGCTCAGGCCCCCAGCTCAGCACTATCCAGACATTGACAGGCATTGTCTCCTTTCATTCTTGCAAGGACGCTCTGCTACAGGCACCTACTACTAATGGGGAAACTGAGGCACAATGAGTCATGGCATGGGTGGCATGATTGGGGTGGCCAGAAGCAATGGTCTGGAGAAGAGAGGTTCGCTCTGAAGCTTGGAGGAGAATGCTGGTAAAACCTCTGTCCGTCCATACACTTTGGCAAAGCGTCCTGCCCACCTCCTCTCCATTCTCTCCTTTGATCCTCACAGGAGCTCTGTGGGGTACGGGCTATGCGTGTCTTTACCCCACAGGTGAGGACTCTGAACTGACATGCAGAGAGGGGAAGGGCTTATCTGGGGTCAGTCAGGCAGTAAGCAACTGTCTGGGCCAGGATTTGAACCAGGCTCAACTCTCACTTTGTAGGGGAAAGGTCATTCCAGGCTTGCAGAGCACTCACTAACCGGCTTGCTCTGGGGGGCTTCTCATGCCTCCTGGGTCCTACAGTAGCCCTGAGAGCCTCTGTAGGGGGCGGAGAGGAGCGGAAGGGAGGGCAACTTGGGACTGGCAGGCAGACAGCTGAGGAGGAAAGGGAAAAGGCCACTTCAAAGTGCTAGAGTCACAGAGTCCACAGGTTTTTGGCCTAGAGAGTTTCTAAAGTCCAGCCAGGGCCGGGTGCGGTGGCTCACGCCTGTAATTCCAGCACTTTGGGAGGCCGAGGTGGGCAGATCACATCACTTGAGGCCAGGAATTTGAGGCCAGCCTGGCTAATGTGGTGAAACCCTGTCTCTACTAAAAATACAAAAATTAGCCAGACATTGTGGCACACACCTGTAATCCCAGCTGCTCAGAGGCTGAGGCAGGAGAATCACTTGAACCCGGGAGGAGGTGAACGTTGCAGTGAACTTGCCACTGTGCTCCAGCCTGGGCTACAGAACAAGATTCTGTCTCAAAAAAAAAAAAAAAAAAAGAAGAAGTCCAGCCAGTCCATTCTGCAGATGAGGCAAACTGAGGAAGTCCAACTGCTTAGATTAGAAATCAGATCAGGACACACCCTTGGAGCTCTAAAATCCCAGCAGCTCCCGGGGGTAAGGTCCAGAGGCAATTAAAGCGTCACTGGGAGGGCAGAGGGCCAGAATCGATCCCAGCAGGCTGTGCCCTAGGGACAAAGGACTGTAGGGGTCTCTCCTGCCCTCCACCTCCACCCGCGTCCACCCCCCAGCACTCAGTAGTCACCAGGGTGGAATATTTTAGCACCTATAGAAAAACCGCCACAGACGGCCGTGGCAGCTGTTGCTAAGGAGACGCTCCCAAAATAGCCCCCCTCCGCCAACCTTTCCCGCTGCTGCTCCTGCTGTGGGGAGGGGAGGAGACCAGGCAGGGAGGGGGTGGCACATGAGTCCTCGCCCCAGGCTCACCCACCCACCCCGGCCCCTGATGCCCA